CGAGCCCCAGCCGGGCTCATCCCTGTCTCCATCCCCGGCTGGGCCGGATTCTGACCCTCTCTGTTTGTGTCTCTCTCCCTGCACCGCCGCCGTCCCGCTGGCAGGAGTCGTCCGATAGCACCAACACCACCATCGAGGACGAGGACACGAAAGGTGACGGGGGCGCGGGAGGGCTGCGGGGCGGGGCTGGCACTGGGGTGCACTGGGAGGGTGCTGGAATGCACTAGATGGCACTGGGATGCGCTGGGAGGGTGCTGGAATGCACTAGATGGAGCTGGGATGCACTGGGAGGGTGCTGGAATGCACTAGGATGGAGCTGGGATGCACTGGGATGGTGCTGTGATGGCACCAGGATGCATTGGTGTGCACTGGGATGGCACTGGGATGCGCTGGGAGGGTGCTGGAATGCACTAGGATGGAGCTGGGATGCACTGGGATGGAGCTAGGATGGAATGGGATGCACTGTAATGGCACTGGGATGCAGTGGAATGGCTCTGGGATGGCACCAGGATGCACTGGGTGCACTGGGACAGATGGGACACAGTGTAATGGTACAGGGACGTATTGGGATGGCATTGGGATCTGCTGGGATGGCACCAGGGTGCATTGGGGTGCACTGGGATGGAACTGGGATGGATTGGGATGCACTGTAATGGCACGGAGATGCACTAGGATGGCATTAGGGTGCATTAGAGTGAACTGGGGTGCATTGGGAGGCACTGCAATGGCACGGGGACACACTGGGACGGCACTGGGATGCTCTGAAATGGCTCTGGGATGGCACCGAGGTGCATTAGGGTGCACTGAGATAGACTGAGATGGCACTGGGATGCACCAGCATGCACGGGGGTGGCATTGGGATGCACTGGGATATACTGAGATGGCACTGGAGTGGACTGGGATGCATTGACACGCACTGTGTCGCACTGGGATGCAGTAAGATGGCACTGGGATGCACCACGAGGCACTGGAATGACACGGACACAGTGGGATGGTACCAAGATGAACTGAGATGCACTGGAAAGGCAGTGGGATGCACTGGATAGAGCTAGGCTGTACTGGGATGTATTGGGATGCACTGGAATGGCACTGGGACACAGCAGGATGGCATTGAGATGCAGTGGGATGTCACTGGGATGCACTGGGACAAACTGGAGTGTAATGATATACTCTGGAACAGCACTGGAATGGAACTGGGCTGTGTTGGAATGCACTGGGAAACACTGGGATGCACTAGGAAGGCGCTGAGATGTGCTGGGATGGTGCTGAGATGCACTGGGACACACTGGGATATAGTGGAGTGCCACCGAGATGCATTGGAATGGCACTGGACTACATTAGGGTGACACAGGGATGGACTGGGATGGCACTGGGATGCACTGGAATACAGTGGGATGATACCAAGATGAATTGAGATACACTGGAATGGCAGTGGGATGCACTGGATGGAGCTGGGGTGTACTGGAATGCACTAGAATGGTACTGGGATGCACTGGGAAGCAATAGGATGGTACTGCAATGCACTGGAATGGAACTGGGATGTATTGGGATGCACTGGAATAGCGCTGGGACAATCTACTACACACAGCAAATTGGCACTGAGATGCAGTGGGATGTCGCTGGAATGCACTGGGACAAACTGGAGTGTAATGATGTGCTGTGGAATAGCGCTGGTACATACTGGGATGGAACTGGGCTGTATTGGAATGCAGTGGAGTAGCACTGGGATGCAGTAGGATGGCACTGGGATGCACTGGGGTGGCATTGGGATATAGTGGAGAGGGCTGCATTGGAATGGCACTGGAACACACTGGGATTGCACTGAGATGCGCTGGGACACACGAATTCAACAGCATGACACTGGGATGCACTGGGATGGAACTGGGGTGAACTGGAATGCTTGGAATGGCACTGGGACACAGTAGGCTGGCACTGGGTTGCATTAAAATGCAGTGGGATGGCCCTGAGATGTACTGGTGTAAACTGGGGTGTATTGGGCTGCATGGGAATGGTACTGGAACACACCAGGCTGTAACTGAGATGTAGTGGAATGCACTGGAATGTACTGGGGTGTCACTGGGATGCAGTAAGATTGCACTAGGGTGGAACTGGGGCACATTGGAATGCACTGGGATGTAATGGAGTGCACTGGAGTGGCACTGGGATGCAATAGGATCGCACTGGGATGTGTTGTAATGCACTTGCGTGGGTCTGGGATCTGTTGTAATACACTGGGATGGTACTGGGATGCACTGGAATGGCACTGAGCCACAGTGGGATGGCACTGGGAGACACTGGTATGGAACTGGATGTATTGGGATGCACTGGAATGGCACTGGAATATACTAGGACATGCTAGGGTAACGCTGGGATGCACTGGGCAGCACTGGGACATGCTGGGGGGGCACTGGGCAGCACTGGGACATGCTGAGCTGGCACTGGGAGGGCACTGGGCAGCACTGGGACATGCTGGGAGGGCCCAGGACGCTGGCTGGGCCGTGGGGATGCAGAGACCGGTGCGACAGAGCTGCGGGGCCTGGGCGTGCGGAGGTCCCTGTGTCTGTCCCCATGGTCCATCCCTCCGTCTGTCCCCGAGGCCCATGGATCTGTCCCCATAGTCTGTCCTCAAGGTCTGTACGTCTGTCCTCATGGTCCATCTGTCCCCATGGTCCGTCTGTCTGTCCCCGTTGTCTGTGTCTGCTCCACGGTCCATGTGTCTGTCCCCATGGACTGACTGTCTGCCTGTCCCCATGGTCCACGTGTCTGTCCCTGTGGTCCGTCTGTCCGTCCGCATGCCCCCTCCACGTCCCTTCTCCACCTCCCGTCCCCCCGTGTCCGTCCCCCCGGCCCGCCGGCGGGTGTCCATGTGTCCATCCCTCTCC